GCATGGCTGAAGGAAAGTGGTTCTGGAGAGCACTTTTTAAAATGGAGGATGAAGCAAATGTTATAATGTGGGAATCAAATGCAAACTTCACATTAATATTGATAGATACTGTCTTGGAAACTAACACAAACACCTACGTGGTTTTGAGGCAATTACACACTATAAAATATATCAAAATACTCACTACATGCTCCCCATTGAATAAACCAGTAACAGGATATGAATTTATTGCTTAAGGAATTATTTATTCCTATATATGTGTGTGTACACCCACCCGCACCAGATGTCCGTGGATCACTGTTAGCCTTTTGCCTTAAGGGGCCTGCAGCAAAAAAGGAAACAGCTGCACACCAGTCTGATATATCATACAAAGCTTTCTCTATTCTCATTTCATAGCCAGTGGGTTATAGGATGTAAGAGAGAACTGGAGTTGCCTAATCATCCTCATGAGGCAGACTTAAGAATGGATGAATCTGCCAATTTTTAGTTTCTATCAATTTCTAATTTTTCCAGTTTTGTCCAGCTTGCTACATTTGCACATCAGCTTGCAATTTTTAAAAATCAATGTTTTAGTTTGTATTTATTCTAATACCATCGGCTGGGTGAGGACTGCAGGGCCTGCTCCCTTCCAGGGCCTTCTCCAACTGGCCCAGGGGGCGTGGCCCAGGCCCTTATTTGGAACAAACTTTTGGGGAAGTGTGGGAAGTGTTCTGCCATTGCTTCCCTGTTCCAGGTGGTTAATGTGCTTTAAAATGTCCTCAAGCAGTCGGTGGCAATTTAAATTTTTATTCCTTTTTTTCCTTTTTTCCTTTGTTGGGGGTGGGTGGGATGGATAGTTGGTTGGGGATTAATTCTAATATAATTGTTCTGTTCCTTTTTGTTGTTGTTGTTTTATTGGTTCTGTATAGTTTGTATTTTGTTTTTAAGGGGCGGGATCAGGGCTGCCTGGGAGTGGCTCCCCAGCCAACACGATGGCTGGGACAAGTTCCACGGGGGGGGAAGCACTGGGACATCCGATCTCGGTGATCATGGGCAGGAGGCGGAGTTACGCTAAGACCAGACCATGTCATTACCGAGGAGGCAGGTTTAGTCGTTGTTTGAAGACTATCCCTGCCTCCGGGCCTGGACTTGACCAGATGGATACTGGAATCAACAGGGGAAACCCACATGACCTGAAAGTGTTGCTGTGCAGTGCCAGGCCAATGATGAATAAAACCACTGCCATCCACGACTTGATTGTGGATGGAGGATTTGACCTGGCATGTGTGACAGAGACCTGGTTGGAGGAAGCAGATGGGCCTGTCCTTGCCGCTGCTTGCCCACCAGGTTTCTCTTACGCACAGCAACCCAGGTCATGTGGGCGGGGAGGGGGGGTTGCAGTGATTTTTAGGAAGTCACTAGCTTGCACCAGGCGTCCTACTGGGAAGATCCAGTTCTCTGAGTGCATGTTCTGGAAGTTGGGCAATAGGGGCAGTACAGGATTTCTTTTGGTGTACCGACCTCCCCGCTGCACCAAGGATTCCCTGTCTGAGCTGCTTCAGGTCATGGCGGATTTTCTCCTGGAGACACCTAGTTTGGTTGTCCTAGGGGATTTTAACATCCATGCCGACACGACCTTACAAGGGGCCGCTCGGGACTTCGTGGAAAGCATGGCCTCCATGGGGCTGTCCCTGAATAAGTTTGGCCCAACTCATAGTCATGGACATGCCTTAGACCTGGTGTTCACCTCTAGTGACGTGGGTGATCTGACACTAAGTAAAAGTGAAACAAAAGAAGTGCCATGGTCAGATCACTTCCTGGTGCAACTGGACTTCTCCGCGACCCTTCCCTCTGCAGGAGGTGGGACCAATTCGGATGGTCCGCCCCCGCCACTTAATGGATCCAAATGGTTTCCAGAGAGTGGTAGGGGATGCTTTAGCCCATGTTGATGGCCTTTCAGCTGATTCCCTGGTGGCCCGCTGGAATGCAGAGTTAACCAGGGCTATCGACTGTCTGGCTCCGAAGTGCCCTCTCCAATTGCATGGAGCCCGGACAGCCCCGTGGTTTTCTTCGGAGCTGAGGGCGATGAAACAATCGCTGAGACGGCTAGAGCGTCGGTGGCAGAAAACTCACTCCGAATCTGACCGGACACAGGTTAGAGCTCAACGTCGAGCCTACCAAGTGGCGATAGCGACGGCGAAGAAGACTTTCTTCACCGCCTCTATTGCATCTGCAGAAAATAGTAGCAGGAGACTCTTTCAGGTGGTTTGCAATTTAACGGAACCACCTTTACCACCGGGGCCTTGTAAAGACCCCAAGATCTCCTGCAACGATTTTGCAAAGTTTTTTGCAGATAAAATCACTCATATTCAGAAGGAGCTAGACACCACCGTGGGAGAAGGGCCGGGGCGGGAGAGTGCTAGAGCTCTGTCTGGTCAAGTTGCATGGAATCAATTTCAATCCGTTACCCCCGAGGATGTGGACAGGCTGCTTGGACGCGTGAAACCAACCACCTGTCTCCTTGATCCTTGCCCATCCTGGCTAATAAAAGCAAGCTGGGAAGGGCTGGGCGATGGGCTCTGCGGGGTGGTGAATGCTTCCCTCTGTGAGGGAACATTCCCAGATCCGCTGAAAGAGGCGGTCATTAAACCGCTTCTTAAAAAACCAGCTTTAGACCCGGCCAGTATGGCCAACTATCGCCCAGTCTCAAATCTTCCATTCTTGGGCAAAGTGAATGAGCGCATGGTTGCTGAACAACTCCAGGCACGCCTAGAGGATGCGGACCATTTGGATCCCTTCCAATCGGGATTCAGGCCTCACCATGGGACTGAAACTGAAACTGCCTTGGTCGCGCTGGTTGATGATCTCCGGCGAGCTAGGGACAAAGGTGAGAGTTGTTTCCTGGTTCTGCTGGATCTCTCAGCGGCCTTTGATACAATCGACCATAACATCCTTCTGGACCGTCTAGAGGGGCTGGGAGCTGGGGGCACTGTTATACAGTGGTTTCGCTCCTTCCTCCTGGGCCGTGTTCAGAAAGTGGTGGTGGGGGATGAGTGTTCAGACCCCTGGGCCCTCACTTGTGGGGTACCTCAGGGTTCCGTCCTCTCCCCCATGCTGTTTAACTTCTATATGTAGCCGCGGGGAGAGCTCATCAGGGGTTTGGACTGGGTGTCCATCAATATGCAGATGATACCCAGCTCTACCTCTCTTTCAAATCAGAACCAGTGAAGGCGGTGAAGGTCCTGTATGAGTGCCTGGAGGCGGTTGGAGGATGGATGGCGGCTAATGGATTGAAGTTGAATCCTGACAAGACAGAAGTATTGTTTTTGGGGGACAGGGGGCGGGCTGGTGTGGAGGACTCCCTGGTCCTGAATAGGGTAACTGTGCCCCTGAAGGACCAGGTGTGCAGCCTGGGAGTCATTTTGGACTCACAGCTGTCCATGGAGGCGCAGGTCAATTCTGTATCCAGGGCAGCTGTCTACCAACTCCACCTGGTACGCAGGCTGAGACCCTACCTGCCTGCGGACTGTCTCGCCAGAGTGGTGCATGCTCTAGTTATCTCCCGCTTGGACTACTGCAATGCGCTCTACGTGGGGCTACCTTTGAAGGTGACTCGGAAACTACAACTAATCCAGAATGCGGCAGCTAGACTGGTGACTGGGGGGCGGCCGCCAAGACCACATAACACCGGTCTTGAAAGACCTACATTGGCTCCCAGTACGTTTCCGAGCACAATTCAAAGTGCTGGTGTTGACCTTTAAAGCCCTAAACGGCCTCGGCCCAGTATACCTGAAGGAGCATCTCCACCCCCATCGTTCTGCCCGGACGCTGAGGTCCAGCGCCGAGGGCCTTCTGGCGGTTCCCTCATTGCGAGAAGCAAAGCTACAGGGAACCAGGCAGAGGGCCTTCTCGGTAGTGGCGCCCGCCCTGTGGAACGCCCTTCCATCAGATGTCAAAGCGATAAATAACTACCTGACATTTAGAAGACATCTTAAGGCAGCCCTGTTCAGGGAAGTTTTTAATCTGTGATATTTTACTGTATTTTTGGTTTCTATGGAAGCTGCCCAGAGTGGCTGGGGAAACCCAGCCAGATGGGCAGGGTACAAATAATAAATTATTATTATTATTATTATTATTATTATTATAGGCAGAATTTGTATGCAATTTTGCCTAATAGACATATTTTTGCAAACAACATGACAACCTACAATACACGAGGGCTGGAGGGAGGGCATCAAATGTTGGCCTTGCACAGGGTAGCATATTACCAAGGTCTGTCCCATTCCTATTCCAAAGACCAAGATGGACCCATTTGTGCCTCACTGCTGCATCAGGGAGACAGCATCTCAATGGCAGCTGCCCATTCTTATTCTCCTGGGGGAAATGGAAAACCATGCAGTACAAACAAAGGGAAGTGTGTGGATGTAAGTAGAGTGGAGGAGAATCTCCTCAGCGTACATCTCCAAGAGCTGTACTAAAGTACACACTACGTGCAGAGGCTGTTTTCCTGTGAAGAAACCAAGTTCAAGTACCACTTCTCCTACTTTGACTTTTGAAATGGTTTCTGTGGGTTACATGCACATTACATTTCACCAGAATGAGAGCTGCCTTATAGCAGTTCAGTAACTGTAAGCATTCAACTCAGATCTTCAGTTGAATGTCTGGCAAGGACCACCATGCAAGCCAGTCCTTGTGCAGCCTGTTAAATCAGGACTGAGGAACTTGTGGCTCTCCAGGTGTTGTTGGACTCCAACTCCCATCATCCCCAGCCATCCTGTTCATGGATGATGGAAGTTGTAGTCCAATAACTTCTAGCGGTGAACACATCCAAAACTATACCAAGTCATTCATGCTACTTGATGATAGAGTCTATCTAGAAGGAGATTCCTGTGAGTTCAGGCCGGATTCCTTCACAGATGTGGAGTGCAGGATTATCTACTATTGTGCTTGGATGATTCTTTTATTCTGATAAAACCCTTTCAACTTATACACTCATAGGAATCATTCCAATAACCTTCCTCTGAATGTTAAACAGATGCTGTCCTTTAGTATTGTTGGTTTGAAACTGTACATTCATACCTAAGATAACAAACAATGGCACATTTGTCTTCAGTGTTTTTCTCTTGCACTGCTGTCCTTTAGAATTACTTCAAGCGATTTCTGCATATTTTGTTGCTGAGAGCTCTCTGACAATGCGGCACACCTGGGAAATAATAGAAAAATCAGATTACACGAGTTTTGCCAGTGTGGAGAGCAATTAATGTAACAAGTGTGCTCCGAGGACTTCTCTGCAAAAAAGCCTAACAATGGCTAATTAATTTCATGGGTGCAAATGCTTGTTCCTCTTGGGCCAGATTTTCCTACTGTTCCATAGTAGGGAAAAGTAATTTTTTAAAAAGGAAAGATGATAAAGAAAATATGAACCAAGGGAGAAGGTCAAAATGAACATTGGTGTGTTTGAATAAGTGGAGGAGCGCAAGCAAAAATATGCAGTAGAAAGCAGAGCATTGGGCAGGTCCCTGGACCTTGAGGATCATGTATAAGGACCCAGACTCAGCTGCCAGGACCTCAAGTAAAATATCTTGGGAAAGACCCAAGAGCCTACAAATGGACCTTGAGCTTGTTTGGAGGTTCTAGCAGGGGAGCACAGCTATTGTATACCCTTGACCGAAGAACAGTACACTCCTATCTGGGACGGTTGTCCTATTCCACCGTGCACACAGCTTCGTGAGGGATGTACATGGAGCGGTGAGGGAGGGAGGGGACACCCGCCTAGCCAGCCAGATCAGCTGAATCAACCCTGGTGATCAATGGGGTGACAGATGTCACAGCCAGATCACCCTCACATCTAAAACCCAAGAGCCTGGAGCACTGAAAACACAAGGCGCTTTAGCTTCAAGAGACCCAAGAGCCTGCATTACCACCACCATTTTAGACTGAAGAAATGGTCTGACGCCACTTTCACAAGTTATTTCATGGTCATTATAGGAACAAGTTGTTCCGCTCCTAAACTTAAAGCATGACTACACATTTTTCTTAAGTATTGTACCTTCAAGTTCCTCCGGCCTCCCGGAGCACAGAAGCTTGAAGGGCTATTATTATTATTATTATTGCTGAAGGAATGATCAAGGCTCTCTCTCCCCAATGTCATGTTCCAAAGCAACCCCCTCTTTCAGTGATTTTAACATAAAATAACCTGCCTTTTTCATATCATATAGCCCATGCCACTGTTATTGTGCTGATGATGACTGCTAGCTGCCCCCCCAGCCTTAAAAAACAACAACACCCCCCCCATACATTTACATTCCATTTTTCCTTCACAGAATTCAGCACAGTATGGGTATGTTAGGCTGAGAGCCAGTGACTTACTCATGACTGAGCAGGAATCTGATCCTGGTCCCTCCACTCCTTCATCAGCATTCAAATCCAACAAATCTAGCCACTGGGCTAGAAAATCCTCAAACAACATGCAATAATGGTTTAGCACTTGATGTTAGCTGCATTAGCAGCAAATCTAAGCATTAACAGACCTAACCCATTAGTCTTTTCTGCTTCATTGTTCAGCATCCTCAAGACCTTACCTGAATAGGTTTTTCTACTGCTAATCAAACCTATCCATTCTTAAGGAAATCAGCCCTGAGTGCTCACTGGAAGGACAGATCGTGAAGCTGAGGCTCCAATACTTTGGCCACCTCATGAGAAGAGAAGACTCTCTGGAAAAGACCCTGATGTTGGGAAAGATTGAGGGCAGAAGGAGAAAGGGATGACAGAGGACGAGATGGTTGGACAGTGTTCTCGAAGCTACCAGCATGAGTTTGAACAAACTGCGGGAGGCAGTGGAAGACAGGAGTGCCGGGCGTGCTCTGGTCCATGGGTTCACGAAGAGTCGGACACGACTAAACGACTAAACAACAACAACTGCTAATTAGTAGATTGCAAGCCACTGCTTGGGAGAGAATCACTGTATGGTTGTACATCATTGGATACATATTTTATTTGGATTTCCACTCCCATTGCTCTGAATTAGAGTCCCCATCCCACAACAAATAGCTCCTTATGTTAAATTTAAAGTGAATTTGGAGGGTCCTGTTTAGAACCATGGAAAGGAAAGTAATTATATAACATTCAGGAAACATCTGAAGACAGCCCTGAATAGTGAAGCTTTTTAAGGTTTAATGTTTTATTCTGTTTTTGTATATGCTAGAAGCTGCCCAGAGTGGCTGGGACAACCCAGCCAGATGTGCGGGGTACAAACAAGCAATAAAAATATATATAAATTTTTTAGTAGATTTAACAACATTTCACTTAGAGGTTTTGTGCATCTCTAAGTCCTCACCAAATTTCGGCCACTGTGAAATTTGGGAGCAAAATTTCCGTGTCTGTGCTTAGAATAATCATTTGAAAGAATTGGGAGAAATGCTAAGAGAATGAACAAGTTATACAATATTCCCAGGGCAAATTTCAAACTTCTCTATTATGAGAAAAAAATTCCTTCTGCATCCTGCACTATACTGAAGATTATGCACATTTTGTGAAAAATAAATAAACCCTGCACCAAAATTTAATGAACATCTGTTGAAGACTTTTGGTACACTTGGTCTGAATCAAACTAGGATATATTAAAAACAAAAACAAGCCCAAACTTTTTTCTTCAGTTTTAATAACAAAAATATGCTTTTGTTCAGCAATTTTCCTAAGAGGGTAGCAACATGGCTCCAGGCATAAAAATCCATTAACACAAGCAGATGTAACTCTCACAGCTAATTTCTCAATATGTTATATCCAATCTCTTTGTTGGACTGGTTTAAGGGAATGGGTAGTGTTTTCCACTAAATTGGGACATGAGCATAGATGAGTTCTACTTAACAGGGCTTTCTCTCAAATGCGGCTTGAATCATAGCATAACAAACCTGAAGTACTGGGAACTTCCTGACACCTTATGAAGCACCAGGCAGATCATACAGGGGTGTCTTGCCCATAGAAGCAAGTGGCACGGGGCGCCAGGGTGCCAAGTTCTGGAGGGCACCAGGGAAGAGGTGGAGGCTGGGCATGGCGTGGCGTGGCGCCTCCCTGCATCAGTTTGCTGCCCTCGCCCACCTCGCTGAAGCAGCACCGCTGCCTGCCTCCTCCACCCCCACGAAGCTGCCGGCAGTGCCGTAAAAAGGTTGGCAACTCTGGGAAATGGAGGGGGGGCACCAGAGGGATCTCTGCACCACGGCGCCAGATATACTTAAGACGGCCCTGAGATCATATAATCTCCCCTCCCCTGTTTTGTTACGCTTTACTCAATTTAGATATTCTTTTTTTAAAAATCCTTTCAACTCAAGTCGGAAAGTCAAGTCAAGTCAAATTCGGAAGACATTTGTAATAGGTGTGTTGCACTCCACTGATTGTTTCATCAGCACTCCTGCTCAGCAGATGGATGATTCCTCATGTCTTATGGCCATGTGCTGTTCTAGCCTGAATTTTGGGGAGGCACAGGGGGATACGGCGGGGAGAGAAAGTCCCATTGTGCTGGTGGGAGCCCATCCACTGATATTCAATTGAATGCTTCCCAGTAAATGACTGTTTTCAAGCGCATCATTACGAAGTTAGCCAACTAACATCTACTCAAAGTAGACCCATTGAAATCAATTGTTCTAAGTTAGCCATGCCTATTACTTTTAATGGGTCTTCTCCGACTAAGACTCACATTGTCTACAGCCCTTTGCATTATTTTTTTTTAAATGGCTCTTTTGCTGTTTCTCAGGTTAATGCACGAGTTGCCTAATGGTGCATAAGAATTTCACATCGTGTGTGAAATTCCATGCAAGCAATATCACGAAACGCTACCAACCTTGCCTGTATTGTGATTTCTTAAAGTCATATCATGGAGTTCTATGGATAGATAAATTCCTTGTTCAATATTATAGAGCACAGAGTGAGGGAAGCCCTAATACCTCATAGGAAATATTTGTTTCTGTTTTGAATTTTGTTTGGCTTATGCATGGGAGTAGTCTTGAGGTAAGTAATTGTGCCTCTTGGGATCCTGATTAAGAATGTGATTTTATGTCAGGTGAGTGCAGCTGGGTCATGTTCAAGGATTGATTTCAGCATTGTCGTTATAATAAAAGAGCTTCTGGAGGCCTAATGAACCAAACTGTCAATGGAGATCAATGAGATTTTGTAGTAATGAAAAGCAGCTGTTTAACCTTTGTCTCCTTTATATAGCTTCTGGTCCCAGTTGCACGCCACAGATTGTAGGAATCAGAAGGCAGGAAGGAATCATAGGAGTGTTGTTGCACTTAGGTTCTGCTTGCGGGTTTCTGGTCGCTGTCAGAACAGGATGCTGGACTCGATGGGCCTTCGTATGTTCTTAGTTTACTTTGGTCACCTCACAAGCATTTTTATAGAAGTGACACACAGTCCAGCCATCTGGATGCAGACATAATGCTGCCCTGAAGAAGAATGGAAGAGTTCTGAAGCACCACCATGTGTTCTGTGCCTATCTTAAGAGCATGTGCTGATATTTGGAAAGATTTTCCACTTGGCTTTCTGTGTACGAATTTGCATCTGAAAAAGAGACACATGAATGGTCACACTGGCTGCTTCTCTCAACAGGAGGGCGGGAAAGCATTTTGCAGTGTTTCTAGTCATTGAAACACCAGGGAGTGCTTGGTAGCTCATCACTTGAGATTTTATACTGTTCACTTGCATGAATAATCAGTTATAGTGACTAACTTGGGGCAGCAACACTTGTACCAACTCTAAACAAGGAAAAGAAAGCTGTAATGCATGCCAGTACAGTTGAGTTTCTTTTTCTCTGTCCCATAAACTTGGGCTAGGCAATGTGGTTCTCTCCAGATAACATTGGCTACATCTTCATCATCCCTGACCATTGAACATTGACCAATGCTCCATATTATGAGGCCTCTCTTCTGATTGTCCAATGCGCTGAGAGTGTATAGGGAATCTAACAGCACAAACTTATAGATGTCTACTCACAGGAATGTCCCATTGATCCAATGAAGCTTATTCCTAGGTGAACGTGTATAGAACTGCAACCTAAATGTTATGAGTAGGTAAGGTTTTGTAAAAATAATAAAAAAAGGAAACAAAGTTAAGAAGACAAAAAAATGAACGAGAAATAAATTATAGTGCAAGTATTCAGGATAATGTGATTAACAGACAAGGAAAAGTATTGAGCAGCTTTTTCCCACATGATATTTTAGTGGTAGAGATGACCAGTTCACAGACTCACCATAATCATCCATGCAATTATTTCTCAAGCTTCTTAGGATACACATTAATGTGTGCTGCATGGTCTATGATTTGGGACCTTTGAGGATGATGCTGGAGTGTTCCCACATTTTCTGCAATTAGAGCAGCACCCTTCTCAGTCATTGTGATTATGGGAAGAATTTCTGGGTGGCTGATCTTACCTTACATTCATACTTCACTTTACATTCCAGTAATGTCAATGCGAAGGAACCATAAGCATAAAATCATAGAATTGTAGAGTTGGAAGGGACCATGAGGGTCATCTAGCCCAACTACCTGCAATGCAGGAATCTTTTGCCCAATGTGGGGCCCAAACCCATGACCCTGAGATTAGAAGTCTTATGCTCTACCAACTGAGCTATCCCCAGCATGAGATGAAGCATGTGGTTCTTTTTTCCATACATCTATGGCAGACGTATGAATCAACCTGCTGGACTGGGAGAAGCAGCAGCGGTGGAAACGCTTTGCAATGACCAAGAACTGTTACAACTGACACAAAGCAAGGAAGGTCCCTACAGTTTGTCCAGAATTCTTCTTCCTCCTTCCCAACTAACTGCATGGCACTTAAGAATAGATTATGGAGATGCTGGAAAGCACAACCCTCTTCAGAGCAAGATCAAACTCAAGCGCAGAAGTTAATATAGTTCAGCATATTAGAGGTGGTGAACTGATGCAGTGGAAGGAGGAGAGATTATGTTTCCACTCATTCTGCTTCTGCATAGGCCCCATGTTCTCTCAGTGAACCTGCACTGCATTTCTCCCTGCCATATTCCCCTTGTTTCTTCACTACAGAAACAGCATTTGACAAATTTGCAGTGAGTTGTCAACAGCTCTTAGAACAATAGTCCTTATTAAACTCTGAAGCCCCCCCGGGTCATGATCTTTCTCCCCTTTGCATTTGTATTCATGCCTTCTAGGTGGAAAAGACAAGCTAGATAAATTCTGATAATATGGAGGGCTTCGGCTTGTACCTGAAGAAGTGACCTTCGTGAGCCAAAGGTTTGTGTGTAATAAATTATTTGTTTGCTCAGGTATTATCTGTAGTATTTTTTGGTGTAGCAGTGAATGCTCTTAGCCTATCAGAAAATTCTGGGAGCTGAAAGCTATAGAGAACATAAATCTTCCCCATAAAGAGACCGGGTGAAACATCACATTGAAACTTAGCATGGCTCTCAACAGGAATAATAAAACTGTCAGTTTCAGCATCCTTATATAAATGTTCCCAATCTGCTTTTATTTCTTTTTGTGCTTTAGGTATGTATGTATACAGAATGGCCAAACATTTGTGGCACCTGACTGCATTTCTCAGAACATGAGAGTCTGATTTCTTACCATATTGACTAGCTGTCCCCAGCTTCTGCAAATGGGCCACTTGAATAACTAAAAGAAATTTGACATTTTGTGCTCATATCTCCAATACGGTATGTATGCATTTTGGGGGAGGTTGGAGAGAAGTATCTTAATCCAAGTATGTTGCCTTGTAAAGCTTGAACCTTTTGTTGTTCAGATTGTCAGCTAATTTTAGTTTTGCCTTCCTGATTTGACTATGATTAGCCAATCAGCAAACTAGGGACTCTGAAAAAGAGAAAATAAAATACCAAGTGTTGTACCATTTAAAAAAGAAGGCAGAGCAAGTAGTACAGAGAATGACACAATATTGTAATTTAGTACCATGGCTTGGATCCCAACTAGCCCTTCTGTTTAGGGATGGAGCAAGGATCCATTAGACTCTATCATAGGTTTGAAGGAGCATCATGATGGCAGTTTGAAAACTTTGTGCTGTGCTTTTAAATCCTGACAATTGGGGGCTTCAGAACATAGTGCTAGGAAGAAGAAGTGCTGAGAGGGAGCAGGGCCTGCTCCTACCACCCACCAGCTGATAGACAGCTGGCAAAGCACCTTGTCCTAGTAAAGGAACCCACTTTAAATTCAGGATTCTTGCTTTGTAGCTTTACCCTTGTAGTTCCACACCCACACCATGTATGACAGGTGTAGGGAGTATGAATTTTGCTGCCTATAAATGGCTTTGTGGGCCAACTGGGGAGGCCTGGTGGGCCAAGTCTGGCCCATAGGTGCCCCACCCAGCATTATAGGCTTATCTTGGAATATGTAGATGACCGTGGAGGTATAGAACATAGCCATCATGGCCAATAGCCATTGATAGCTTTGTCCTCCACGAATTTGTCTAATCTTTTAAAGCCACCTAAGTTGAGGTGTGCCTCTTTTGTGTGTGCCTCTTATGTACTGTACATCACCTAGTAATTGGAGGCTCAACAATAACACTCTGCAAAGCATTATTCAGCAATGTACTATGCAATGATGTACCAGGCTACTGAGTACCAAACAATCCTTACCGTTTTGATAAAGTGAATTCATCCAATTCTGAGTTGGGAAGATGCCTTTTCAGTACAGCCTTTGTGCCTTTGGAAGCCAACCCCTTAAAAGCATTTCTGAGTAAAAGTTCTCTACTTCTTTGAGGGACAATATTAATTGTTACATTATTGCCCCACTTTTCGTGTGTTAGGTAAAGGGACCCCTGACCATTAGACCCAGTCGTGGCCGACTCTGAGGTTGCGGTGCTCATCTCGCTTTACTGGCTGAGGGAGCCGGCGTACAGCTTCTGGGTCATGTGGCCAGCATGACTAAGCCGCAGCGCACGGAAACGCCGTTTACCTTCCCGCTGGAGCGGTACCTATTTATCTACTTGCACTTTGATGTGCTTTCTAACTGCTAGGTTGGCAGGAGCAGGGACCGAGCAACGGGAGCTCACCCTGTCGCGGGGATTTGAACCGCCAACCTTCTGATCGGCAAGTCCTAGGCTCTGTGGTTTAGACCACAGCGCCACCCGCGTCCCTTTCTTGTGTTAGAGGAGAGCAAATGAAAACAAGGAAGAGTCTGATGGCATCTTAAAGACTAACAATTCTATTATGGCAGAAGCCAGGGATAGTCAAATTGGCGCTCTCAAAGTATTTTGGACTACAACACCCAATGGCCAATGGTTGAGAATGATGGGAGTTGTAGTCCAGCAACATCTAGAGGGCACCATGTTGACTGCACTGCAATAGACTTCCACTCAAAGCTTATACCATAACAATTTTAAGACTCCAAAATACTATTTATTGTAATTGCTGCAACTGACTAACTGTGGCCAGTGCAAGTCTGCTAACATTGTTCTTGAAGCCAATGTAGGTTTAACTATTTTCACGTACCCTGCACTGCATAATGAGAGGGCCAGTACCAGACAGTGCTTCTGTAGTATGATCCAGGAGACCAGAACTTGAGCTGTGTGTTGAATTGGTAAATGAAGTAGATAGACACAAAGTTTGCACCTATACTTTCAAGTTAGAACTAGCTGAGGGCAGAAATTGGCTAGAGGTAGAAATGATTTAGCTTCCAAAGACATGAGCTGAAAAAGTATCTGCTTCTTGCTTTGAGAATGCTCTCATTCTCAAAGCTATTTTTGTGGCATTTTATAGCAGTGTGTAAAATGTTTATAGGCTAAAGTGTTGCCATAGTCATAAGCAAGCCTTGCTTTATGATGAATGTAGAGGCATCAGCATTGTGCTGTGGCATTGAGTCTGTGTGTCGGAAATGTACAGTGTTGCTTTTAAACTTCTGACAAGGCATAAACCAGCATACAGGGGGCATTCTGTAAATATCTGCATATATTTTATCATTTGACTTCATTTTCAAAATCTAGTACTGTAATTTGGCTAATACAATGAGGACTCACAGCCAACAGAAGCGCCATGCTCCCAGATTTCTTTTCTTTTTTCTAAAGAACTGAGTCTCTAGATGTTGTAGAGAGAAAGTTATAAAGCAAACTGTGCAGGTATCCATCTAAATTATTCCTGTGAGATTAGGCAGCCTGGCTTGAATTTCTGAACTGTGATAGTACCCACAGGCTAGAATCCCAAGGAGTGGGAAGGGAGAGAAGAGTTGATATAGAGACTGTGCTGGGAAGAAACCCCTCCACCATCATTCTCTTGTGTCTGTAGTCTTGTTTACTTGCTTTAATATTATGATTGGGGATAAGAGGAGGGAAATGAATTATAAGGTCCGCTGCCTTTTTAAATCCACTTTACTTTTGAGGATTTTTTAATGCATCCTACTTTATTAATATCTTGTTGGCATCTGTTTGTCTCAAGAGACAACAGAGTGCACTTCTGGGGGTGAAGTCAAACTGCTACATTAGCAGCACCCAAGTGAACTTCCCAGGGTGCAAGCCTGGGCAGTGTGTATGGAGGTTTTTGGCTATCCAGACAAGAAGACCCCCTCTCAGCCTCACTGGTGTGGTCCAAAGGAAAGCAGAACAATACATTTGGCATCAGCTTGACTGCAGGAGCTGCTGGAAGAAGCCTTCTTTGTATTTAAAAAGGCTGAAACAAGTATTCATTTGTATGGGCAATACTCCGTGCTCTGTGAAGATAGATTTTGAACCTGGATATTTGGAAGCCACCTCTCACTTGCCAGGAGCAACTATATTCCGGAGGCAGGGGGAGGTCTCAGCTTCTGACTTAGTTTGGGGATCAGTTCTCTCCACACTTGAGAGGGGTGAATCCTGATGAGGAGTCAGTTGGCAACCCTTACCTAGCTAGGGAGTTTAGGATACTGCTGATTAGATGCTGGCAACACTTGACCTGTTCTGTGTTGTTTTGGGCTCTAGCCTTTTATTCTCTTCTACCCAAGAACCAGTGAGAGGGAAGGGGTGGGGCCTGCCAACAAGAATGTGGAAATCCATACCAACTTGACCTCAGGAATATCAGAACAAGCAGGAATTGCAGTATTCAGGTGTTCCAATGTAGGCAAAGGCAAAGCAACCCAAAGATTCTTACAAACATGGAGAGACATGTTTCTCTCCAGTGCCGTTATCTATGAGAAGAAAAGTCTTCCATAATAACCAGGAAATTACAGCCACAATAAAGGTAAGTTGGACATGGGGTTTATTCAGTGTTGACATTCTGCTTATGCAACAGACATCTGGTTGCAGAACGGAGCTTCCCCCTTCTTTGCTCTCCCCCCATGCACCCTCAACATTTGCTTCAGAGGGCTAGATTCAACTCCTTGTACTTTCCTGAGGTTTTAGAGATGGTCACATATTACATTCAATGAGTGTACAATCTGTGTACCTGTGTGCATGAAAAGCTGAGCTGTACAATTCAATGAGTGTACAGTCTTTCTCATAAATGTTTGTTCATGTGTACAGAAAGCTTGTATCTGTGTTCATTGCAACACGTGAGCAAGCCCTTTGTCATAAAATAATTATGTCTGAAAGCCTATGTACCATTTCCTTCTAGAATAATCCTTGCATGATCGCTGGGCAAGAAAGCTTTATTTCTGTCTCCTGTGGTATATATTCTGAAGGGAGTGCTATCTAAATGTCTGTCTATCTCATTACAGAACTATACAAATGATTCTGTTCAAAATGTTGCTTATTCTGAACAACATTAAGATTCTCTTGAATGGCAATTGAAACCAAACTATATTAGGTAAAATTTAGACTGTAGAAGCATTTAAAAGTATATTTTATTATCATGCATTGCTGAAGTACTTAGCTTTTAAAATTCAATTATTGTTTTACATTGCAGCTGTCAGCTCATTCACCCTTCACCCACGCAAATTTTTACAATGTTCCCTTGTGGCTTCTCCTGCCTGAAAGGTAATGTTTCAAAAAAATACCACAAGGGAAGTTGCTCTTTCAGGAGTGAGTTAGATAAGCAGTGGGAGACAGTTGTGGCAGAGAAACGACTCAGGACAGTGTTTGAATTTATTAAGTAGGAACAGAAGAACTGAAGAATTTTAAATGAAATGCTTATACAGTTAACTTAAATGCTTATACCACTGGCATTCTTACAGCAGGACAGATGATTAACAGTTCAATAGCAAAGAATAATGAACATGAATTTGGCATGTGTGTTGTTTTAATTTTATACTACAACTTGGTAGTAGTGAAAATCTCAACTTTTAGAACCACAAAATATAACCTGGGGAGTTTGGTGGAATGCTATGTAAATAGCAGTCCCTTGGATGTTCAAAACATCAGGGCTGCCTTGCAAATGACTGTGGATAAATTCGATAGTACTGAAGAGAAAAAGCTCTTGCTGTGCTGTTAATAAAGATAATACCAAATCATGTGGAAACTTTGCTCTTGGATAAACTTATGTCACTACGGATATGCATATAAGCTGACAAATTACGAATTTTTGTTAAACAAAATGAGACACTACCTAATTCTATAGTTGGAATTCATCTGTTTTGATAGAGAATGGAGTGCATCTCCAGGGGTGAAGTCAAACTGCTGCATTAGCAGCACCAAAGTGGCCTCCCCAGGGCACAAGCCTGTGCAGTGTGTGGGGAAGTCCTGGGCTACAGAGTGGGAACCAAAGGTGGACAAACTACCTGAGAAGGAGCATAATGTGTTGCCTATCAAAGGTACTACCCCTCCCCTAACACCAGCTAATTCTATGATGATTGATTAATTCCACTATGCTATATCATGGCTACATGATAGACAACTATTCCTCTGTCTGTCTGTCTGTCTGTCTGTCTGTCCATGTGGTTCTTAGAGGGTGGGATGAGTGGGCATGTGCCTGAAGACAGTGCTATGCTTTCCATTTCATTCTAGAATACTGTATCTCTGTTTTCATGCCCTGCTTCTTCCAGTTGAGGTGGGTCCTTTGAGTGGTGCAATGTCTGCCTACCCCATCCTGGAGCCAGCATTTATTTTATTTATTTATCCATCCATCCATCCATC